CAGCGGGTGCGGGGCTAGGGCGCGGGGCGAGCGCTCCCGGCCTCCGCTCCCCGGCCTCCAGGCCCCGGGGGGTGAAGGTTGCGAGGCGCAGAGAGGAACTCGCTCCAACCCCCAAGTCCGCACGGGCAGGACCCGCAGGACCCCTGCTGAGCTGAACTTGTCTAACCCCCAGTTTAAAGGCGGGAGTTGAGCCCTGGATTCTCTGCAAACGGCTCCCCCGCCCCAGCCTCACCCCTTCCCAGGCCCACAGCGCTGGGCAAGTTGGGGCCCCACCGAGGGTGTGATGTTAAGATGCGACCCACCGCATTCGTCTGGGGTAGGAGGTCGTGTTATGTCAGATAGCCTGTGAAAGGCCCCAGCAATCGTAGGAACAATCTGATGGTACTTTGCTCAGCATGGAGAGTGGGTTGGGGAGAAAGCAACGCAGAATTCTGTTCGGCACCTGCCCTTTCATGCTGCTCAGAACAGTTTAGAATTGAAGCACTAACATGTCTTACTCGACAAAAAGGGGCAAAATAGCAGTTGAGTTTCAGGTCCTTGAAAAAAACAAATGCCTATAAGAGATCTATAAAGAGTTTTCAGAAAATAGTTTACTCAGTACTGGCTTTTAAAATTCTATCACTGCCACATTAAATACAGATTTCAAACACGGTATTTTAAAGTCTAGGTAAGAGAAAACTTACTTCCGTGAAGGAGAGCATTCAGACCGCAGCAGAGCCTGGTTTTACTTGAAATGATTGGAACCAGGGCAAGTTTAGATCTTGACCTAAGATGCCAGAAAAGGGGTTGTGACTCTTGAAGGAAACACAGTGCTGAAATCTGAGCAAAAAAGTCAGGGCCTGAATACTATTTGCATTATTGCCCCAGCCAGTAGTTTTCACTTTACTGTCACAGCAGGGATTCCCTGAGCTGCAAATGAAGAGTTTAGTTTTCATACAAACATAGAATTGTTGGAAGGTAAATGCCTATAAACTCAAGTCTTTGAACTGCAGTTCTTTTGATGGAACTCTTTTTTTCTTTGCTTTAGGAAGTTTAGCCACCCTGCCACCTCAGGACAGGATTTTGGATTTTTAAAAATTTCTTCTGGAGTAGTATTAGAATATTGTTCACTTAACTTTTTGAAGGGAACTTTTTGGGGGTCTGCCTAACAATAATAGTAGATAGCAGAATACATATGCAGTTAATATACACATCCTTATAAAAACAAAAGTTGGGTAGTGTAATCTTGGTTGTAGGTTCTTGCTTTCCATCACTTTGAATATTTCTTGCTACTCCCTTCTGACCTGCAAAGTTCCTGTTAAGAAATCAGCTGACAGTCTTATGGGAGCTCCCTTGTAGGTAACTAACTGCTTTTCTCTTGCTGCTTTTAAGATTCTCTGTCTTTAACCTTTTGCAATTTAATTATGATCTGCCTTGGTGTGGACCTCTTTGGGTTCATCTTGTTTGGGACTCTCTGCACTTCCTGAACTTGTATGTCTATTTCCTTTACTGGATTAGGGAAGCTATCATTTAGAATCAAATACCTATAAATTACTTCCCAGACAAGAAAAAGCTAACAGAGTTCCATCGTCACCAAACTATTATTACAAGAAATGTTTAAAGGTCTTCTTTAAGAAGAAAAAAAAGATCAAATATATGAACAATAAAATGGCAATAAATACATATTCATCAACCATTGAATCTGACAAACAAAATAAATGAACAAGCAGAGAAGAAACGGACTGATAGAACATTTTGATGGCTGCAGATGAGAGGAAGGTTGGGGGTGGATGAAAAAGGTGAAGGGATAAAGAAGTACAAATTGGTTGTTACAGAATAGTCCTGAGGTTGGAAAGTACAGCATAGTCAATAATATTCTGATAACTATATGTGGTGTCTGATGGCTGTGAGATTTATCAGGATGACCACGTAATAAGTTATATAATGTCTAATCACTGGGATGTACACTTGAAAATAATATAATACTGTATGCCAACTGTAACTGAAAAGTTAAAAAATGATTAAAAATGAAAAAAAAAAAAGTTGAAAGCACTCCCATACATGCCCAAAAGGGAACTTCATGTGACAAGACAATCGCTTCATTTTCTTCTCACATGCCAACAAGCATGGACTCTGTAAACTTGTTGAGAATCATTTTTTAAAATTCCTTTAAAAGGTTACTCCTTTCCCTCTCTCTTTTACTTTGTAAACTACTTTAGTCACTGAAACTGATCTTTAATCTTCAAGTTCTTATTTAGTTTATATCTTTATTTTTTGACTAGACCTTCTTAAAATGGAACTTTCATTTTCTTCCATGTTTTTTCTCAGGGATTTGAATGGAAATAACATCACACGGATTACCAAAACGGATTTTGCTGGCCTTAGACATCTAAGAGTTCTGTAAGTATGTTCTTCTGTGTTTTGAAGAATTTTCTTTTGTGTTTTTTTTTTTTGAGCTTGCAGATTTTGATTTGTTACTGGTCTCATTTTTAAAAACTGTCTCAGTGACATAAACATAAACATTTAAAAGATCTTGATTTCTGTCTGTTTTAGTTTATCATTGTAGTACAACTTTTAATAAAAATGTAGGCTTTTATTTTAAGGTTGGATGCAGGCCATAGAAACAGTACTATAGGAATGACCTCAAGTGTTTTCAATACCAAACCCTAAGTGCCTTATGCTTATAAAAATATAGAATAATTGTGTTCACAATATGAATAAGTAATGTGAGACATCTGATGCACTTTTAGGATTTGAGATGAACTAGAAATAATTTAAGTGGGTCTGCATTTTTATTACTAATGTAGAAATGTTCAGCCTCTTCCAGCAAACAACACTTAGGTATAATTTCTAAAATTAAAACAAGCAGTCCAGCTTTTCACAGAGTTTATGATGGGAAATGTGTCCCATAAAATACACTGGTCGTATTTTGAATTGTTTCTTATACTTTATATCTTTGTAGCTTTTGTGAAATTGTTGTAATTTGATCACTTCTTTAATTGGTGGGTTAAATTAGTTCTGAGTGAACCATCATTTGAGGTTCAACGTTATGTAAAATTCTTTTACCCACAGGTTTGTAAATACTTACATCACAGTGAACATATACTTTTGATCTCTGTGTGTTCAATGTTCATTTTAAAAGACACATTTGACCATTATGAATTCTTCCAATTTCTGATGTGTATCCATAAGTGAATTGAAATATGTGTATGATGCATTACTGTATATTGATTCTCTTAGTTAAGATCTCATTTGAAAGTCAGTTTACCAAAAAACACCCATCAGAGCTGCAGTGCCATGGGCTGTTTTCCAGAATATACTCTAGTTTAAGGTTCAGGGTTTTGACCAGTGAATTTCATGACAAACTCTGTTAGGATTTATAAATGCAAGTTTTGGGATGTGCATGCTGTTTTCCCTCCCTGAGTTCTCTCAGATATGTCATCATTAAATTGCATATTGAATCTAAAACCGGAGCAAGATTTAACTTTACAAAGGGAAAGAGGTCCAGGTTTTGAGCGGCTAAACTGAAACTTCTCTGACGGTGAGGGGCAGCTTTCAGACTCTGCTGTGCTCTGCGTTTCAGGCAGCTCATGGAGAACAGGATCAGCACCATTGAAAGAGGAGCATTCCAGGATCTTAAAGAACTGGAGAGACTGTAAGTATTTTCAATTCCAAACTTATGACGGCATGACTGTGTTTTTAAAAATACTTGAATTTCAAAGACCATGTCTTTAATTTCACGTCTTAGTCTTTGAAAGTTTATAGAAACAAGAGGTTGAATAAGTCGCTTTCAGACTAATTTAAAAATAGATTTTTTTTTTTTTTTTGCACACAGAGGACTAACTTGAAATAAAGCTGAAAAATGCAGACTTACTTTCCTGAAACACTTCCTCCCTTGGTAACCACTGCTTTTGTACTTTGAGATGTACATGGTTTTCCTACTGTTCATCTAGTTTGTTTTATTTGCTTATGTAGGAAGAAAGGTAGTAATTTTATTTGCATTTATGGGGCATTATAAAGAAAAGTTTTGCTAATGGTGATTTTCATTTCCATTCTGTTTTGTTGTGTGTCATTAGCGGTGTTTGAAGAAATATTTTAAAATCTTAATGAAAGAGATTTGCTTTCTGATATTTAACAAGGTGAATATTGTTAATTATGTCTATTCGCAGTTTTATTTCATTGTTTTATAGTAGTTTTCTATATATTTGTGCTGGATAAATAATTTAAAGATTAGTAGAAAGGGAAGTAAGAATTATGTTATCAAACAGTGGTTATTTTAACATTGATGCTTTTTTCCAAAAAGATCAACTGTGCACTTTAGACTTTAAAATACTTTTTTTTTCACACACAGAATATTAAGGATTGGTATATATTACCTGAGGTCCATTCTTACTTTATATCTACAGTGTATATCTACAAAAGACAAAACCACTGTAATAATTAGGATTGATTGCACACTTGGTAATTTGATGTATGAATTCCATGTCTCATATGTCTTGATAATTCTAGTTTAGTAGGTTTGCATTTTAAGGGCAGATACAGCTCTCTTAAAAGTAACAATGATTATTTTAATAAGTTTCCATGCCTGCTTTAATAGGCACTTTAGGTAAAAATAAAACATGATTTAAAATAATGAAATATGAAGTTCATTTTAGGCATTGTACACTCACATTCACTGGGCCTGGGGGCAGATGTTAATTCTGTGTAATTGTCTCTAAGTAGAAAAGTGCTTGTCAATTTCTAAGGTATTAGTAAATATGTAGGATACGTATTTATCACTACAAGTAAATTAAACACAGAGATGTCTAATTTATTTTACTATAAAATTTTATCCATGATGAATCTTACAACATAGGGAATATTACTGTGGAATTAAAAGTAAATTTAAAATCACTACTTTGAAGTACTCTGAAAATATTCATTCTTTGATTTCCTTGATAGGAAATAGCTAATATCTAGTAAGTACCTTGCAAAGGCATTTTTAATTCATTCGTTTAAAAAGAACTATCAATTTAATCTTATTGTTTAGTACGATGATTACATAATTTAAAATTATCATTTAAACATGATCAGTTTTTTTCATGAATAACTTAACTAGTCACCACATAGAAACCTGTATGTTTTGATTCTTAAACAACTTCCAAATTACCGAAGGAAACCTGATGGCTTTTCATGCAGTTTCTATTTTGGTTGTATAATAGTGTTAAATATTTTCAGAAACATTACAACATATCGAACTTTCTCATTACTTTTCAAGCCACTCCAGGGTATCAGTTTAACTTTCATCTTGAATAAATTAACTTTTCCTAAAAATTATTAACCAGATGCCTTATGATCTGAAATTCAATTAGAGTTGTAAGTAGGTTCTAGTTTTTGACTTTGACTTCCCCTGGGAATGTCACTTCATCTCAGAACAATTTTCTATTCTACTAAGAAGCAGTCAGATGTTGCAGAGTGGGAGGGGGATTTGTAATTTTGAATGAAAACTAATATATATGCAGGACTTCTTTAAATCACCCCAGCTGTTGGCCGAGAGCAAATATTTCATATTTGTGAGGAAAAGCTGAGAAAATTCCTTTTGTTTACAACTGCCAAGTCCATCTGATGGAAGCACATTGTTATCTGACAGCCAATTCATCTCCTTGGGACTCGGGAATTCAAAACCATTTCTTAGGAACATTGTGGATACACTTTTCAAATATTTATTTTCTAAAATACATTAAATGGCAAGGCAGTTTTGTTTAAGAACGCATTCAGGTTATTGTGAAACAAACTATTTAAAAACTTTTTTCAGTATATTAAATTGAAAAGTAAAAATAAAGAAAGCTACCCAGAGAGTTCCATTATCAAATTTCTATGGCCTGTGGCATATACCTTTATTTTAGTTGGTGGATTCATTAATATCACAAAAGTTGCCTTATTTTACCCCCCAAAAGCTCCAAGAGACAATATAAGAGAAAGGAAGTAATCAATGAATTAACTTTTAACTAATTATATGTTGTATGAGCCTACATGGTTTTAAACAATTTAGATGTGAAATTTTTAATTGAAAGTCTAGGTTATAAAAAAAAATGTATAAATGCAGGTTTATGTCGTAAATGCCATTTATACAGTAATTATAGTAACTTAATTTTCAAGCTTCGTGAGAAGAAAAAAATAAATAAAATTAATTTTATTTGTGCACAATTCATGGTTTTAAGCTATTTTTTCATTTTAAAATGATAAAACCAAAACAGTTCCAAATGATGTTTGTATTTTAAAATTATAAGGTTTTATTCATTTTATTTCATGTTAATAGAGTTTTAACTTGATCTAGAGAGAGAAGACAGATCTGAAAACAGAAGATAACATCTGTGCCTTTTTAGAAATCCAACTTTTAATCTCTAAGAAACAGGGTCATATTGCTAAGTGGAATTTAACCTGAATATAGGATGGGAAAGCCATTATTTATAAGTCAAAGCATTACAGTTAGAAGAGAGCGATATTTTTCCTGCCTCAAATGGATGAAATGTAAGGTTATTACTGAAAATGTCAAGTAGATAGATATTAAAATCTTCCTTCCCTCCCTCCCTTCCCTCTTTTTTCCCTTCTTTCTAGTGTGTAGAAAACAGCATCAGATGATATGATCATCGGAACATGCTTAGGAATCCTTGTGCAAGAGCTAAGTTTTGCTCGTGCTTGCACAGCGTGAGCACCCATTGCTCCCGGTTCACAGGGCCTCGCTCCCGCCCGGAGCTGGTGCGGGCGGGGCGCGTTTCCTGGACCTGTGCTGCCCGTCGTGCCTGCATATCTAGGATTAAAGTGCTCCTTGAGAAGGTGCCCATGTAGATTCTATCAGCAGGCCTCAAACTGCTTAATCAAAATGTTCAAATGAAATCGAATGCACTTAAGTGACTGGTTAATTCAGTGGAAATGAATTAAGGAAACAAACTACAAATAAGCTACAGTACAGAACTGAAACATTTAGGAAGCACAGTTCTTTTCTTTTATTTCGAAGAAGATACCTGTATATATCTGCGATAAAGTCAGTTTAAGGTATTTCTTAGCTGGGGCATAATGTCTTAGAATGTTTCTGAAATTGTTTAGGGTTTTCAGAAGAATTTTAGGACATTTTTGTCCTGCTTGCAAGGAAATGCTTATATGCAAAATAAAACGCTTATGGGCCTGGATTATGTTAACCACAGCCAATCACATACCATCGAAAGCCTTGGCTGTTAGGCTTTTCATGAACTCCGACAGTCATTTTATATCCTCACGATAAGGAAACTGCAGAAGTGTCAAAGGCAAGGGCTTGGACTGTTCTTTTCATACCAGTCATGCGTTTCTTACCAGTCCTGTGCAAAGGTGTGGTTTTAAAACCAGTATTGCGTTGACTCTTTGGATTGGACAGTACCGATTTCCTACTAACTTTGTCATTTTATCTTTACATTTCCTTGAACAGTGAGTCCTGAAAATATTATAATAAAGCCATGTAATTAAACCTGTTCACTTAATATTTTAAAGTTTCTATCAAGATGATATAAAAGTCCTCATTTTAATTCACAAAAGTCTAAATCCNGTCCTGAAAATATTATAATAAAGCCATGTAATTAAACCTGTTCACTTAATATTTTAAAGTTTCTATCAAGATGATATAAAAGTCCTCATTTTAATTCACATTATAGTGGAGCCTCAATTTGACTCAACACCACGCTGTCCTGAAAGGATGTGTAAGAGACCCATTTATTACTATCTTTTAAGGTGGTGCTGAATTAGTTTCTCTGTGTGCACACACCCCTCATATAAAAGCATGTGGCAGCCAGGGTGTGAGGCTGGGGCTCCGGAGGTTTTGTTACAGGTCATTACACATGAGTTCAAGCCGAGAATATGCTGTGGAACAGGTCTGAAGGAAGGCACCGCTTATCCCCTGATCGTCAAGGATGTGCAGAGTCCCTCTTCTGACTAATCCTGCGCGTTTATGGGCCACACGTAACACATTCCTTTTCTTAAAGTCAGGGCGAACTCGCGTTCTAATCTCCTTGGAAAAGAATGCAAGCTCATCTCAAAAGAATTGTTCTCTGGCAACTTCACCCAGGAGTTTAAAATCAGTGCAGTGGTTTTCTTGGGAAAGGCTCTTTGAAGAGCATGTGAAACTTGGTAGCAGAGGTGCAGTGCGTGGTATAAACATGTTCAAGGATACATTGTATCACTTCATCTGTGACATCGATCAAGTGTCAGTTCTCACCTGTATGTAAGTGGTACTGAACTGTTTTGTTTTATTTTTTAAATCTTCACCCAAGGACATTTTTTCCAAGAGAGAGGGAGAGAGAAACATCGGTGTGTCTTAGTTGCTCCCGCCCTTGCCCTGACTGGGGCTGAGCTGCAACCGAGGTACATGCCCCTGGGCAGAATCGAACCCGGCACCCTTCAGTCGGAGGGCCGATGCCCTGACCGCTGTGCCAGGTGGGGTCGGGCAGTACTGACTATTTTAAATTACATTTATGGACTGTGGTCTCATAAGGCCTGAAGGCCCGTGCAGTGTTAGAAGTTTAGCCCAACACTGAGTCCATCCCAGAGGGTTTCTCTCGCGTCGTTTTTTATGGGCCTGGAAGTTGAACGGTGGTGAGAAGGCCTGTTTGCTCTCTGCGGGCTGTTTTATAAATGCTGAAGCAGTGA